ATTTCACTGCCTCTCAACCATTTATACGATATTTGCATTTCATTTCATTATTAATTTATTTTCAATTCAATGATTATATTATAAATAATTGAATTCTTATAAGTCCTCAGAGCCTATACTTTTTGAACTGATGTCTTGATATTGCTTTGAAGTATTCTTTAAGGGGCAAAACATGAAGCCTTATAAAAACTCAAAAGCCATATAAAACTTGTATTACTCAATGAATTGCCGATAACTTACAATAGAGTAGTGCTGTATAGCAATGAAATTGACAGACAATTAACAAAAGATATACTTTTGGACGCCTGAGTGTCACAGAGTTAGAGCATCAGTGCCTTCACGTCCTCTCACTTCCCGTTTAAAATTGTCATTAGTTTAGTATTTCGTATATTTTAAACATATTTTTAAAAGCATATTAATAGATACAGAGCGGGGGAAGAGACATAGGATACTCTTTCTATATATTTGTGAGTCAATACATACATGTATTTTAGTCTTATTCGCTGAAAAGTTGAGTCTAAGCCGATTCTCAGACTATAAAACAATAATTGATTAATTAATTTAGAAATTTTATACCTTTCCTTCAATTACTGAAATGTCTGTTTGGATAGAATCGACAATTAGTCGTATGAAAAGAGTATAATGTAAAAGCACTGGTAGTTTCATAACTGGATGGGTGTGGTAATGGATGTGCAGCTGCCATATAAAAAAGTAAAGATCCCCTCTTAATACTATGATATTCTCGTTGTTTTTTGTGACAACAATATGAGGGATCAGTTCATCCCAAAAGCCAAAAGTTTGCATTTCAAGCAATATATTTATATGAATATCATTGGCAGATGTTTTGCATAAACTTTGTCTTTTACTAAGCAAATCACACAATTTGGGAATTTTATGACTTAATAATGGCTTTATTTTTAGTCTATAAATACAATTTCGGATCCAAACGTGTCATTAGATCAGACGTTTCAATAGTCGGTGCTATTTATAAGAATTGATACATTTATAAATAATTTATGTATCACTGAAGTTTTACTTTTAGAATTAATCATGTTTTCAACATAAATCTAGTTATTTATTCAATTTAAATGTTATAAATTAAGTTATAAAAAGTAATTTTAATATTTTATTACCATATTTATGGGGTTTGCATAAAAATCATTGGATCAAAAGCAACAGATATTTTACTGTAAGTTAAAATAAAATTTTCAAAAATAAATATCATAAATAAATCAGTAAAATAGGATAGTCTACACTGTATTATGAAATAGTATACTGTATAACGTATATTCAGTTTTGTATGAGAATACAGGACTCAAAGAGCATCCCTTGCTTTGGATGTGAATTGTCTGTAAAACACAATTAGCGGAAACATCGCTCTAATGAACACTTTGTAATCAATTTTGAATTAGTGTTTGAATATCAATGAGAGGATTGAATTCACTGTCACTTCAGTTACATTCAGAGTTTCACATGTGTTTTATTATGTTGTATAGATCTGATTTTATCATGATTATATAAATACAATAAATTATTTTCAGAGCCAATGGCCGTAAATTCAAAGTGAATGACAATTTGAAAAGATTAACATTAAAATGGCATTAAGTTGTGGAGCAAAGTGTGCGAAACTATTGCTTATTGTTTTCAATTCAATCTTTTGGGTAATCATGATATAACAGAAATTGTAAAAAGTTTAGTGACTAATAGATTGTATTAAACCAGTATATAAGGCGTCGGGAATCGTAGTGTTTGCGTTGGGAATATTCTTCTTGGTTGAAGATGAGAGGTCCAGTCTTTTTAAGCTGTTTGTGGTGGAGAAGTATAACTACGCTCTGTTGCAAATGCTCGCCTGGTCTTTCATTGTCATCGGTTCCGCCATCGGTCTCATCGGCTTCTGTGGCTGTTGCGGCGCTTTTAGAGAGAATCGTTGGATACTTATTATTGTAAAGTTTTATTTAAATATTTATCAAATTCTGTGTTTCCGTATATTTTCATGATTTCTTATTGTTTATAGTATTCGCTGTTTCTTTTGGTGATCTTTGCGTTGGAACTGACGGTCGGAGTAATGGCCGTAATATTTCAGGAGAAAGTGGTGGCAGAACTCAAACTAGAATTAACTAATAAATTACAAATCGATTACGGACTCCAGTCTTCGTTCACAGCAGCCATCGATTTGGCCCAAACCAAGGCATCTATTTGGCACTTGTATTCAATAAAAATATTCTTTATGTAATTATTATCTCTCATATGTAATGGCAGTTTGATTGCTGTGGTATCGATGGGCCGAAAGATTACGAAAAGTCTGTTTGGAAGTTCCAGAAAATGAATGGCCAGAACTCGAATGTGAGCCGAACCTGTTGTCTACTACAGAATAAACTAGAAAAACAGGCCCACAATAATCCCCGACCACTCAATGAAACACTCTGTCAGTCCGCAGACAATGTCGAGAATAGACTCTACAGACATCAAAACGTGAGTTTCAGTTCACAACTATTCTATAGTATAATAATTGTATATAAATGGCATTTATTCGTGAATTAGGGATGTCTTGAAAAACTGGAGCGCTTTATCAGAGCCGAGGCTATGGTTTTCGTGGTAATGGGTTGCGGACTATCAGGAGTTGTGGTGTGTATTATGTCTTTACATTTAATACTTATATTTGACATTAAATAATATGTTTCAATGTTTAGTTAATAGGAATGATTATATCGATATGTTTGTGTCGAGCCATTCATCACAGCAATAATAACGAATAAATAATTGTATTTTATAATTACTTTTGTTTATACTCTTAACAAATTTGTCTACTTTTAGCTCAAACTATTGAGAGCTAATAAATAGAGAGTCATTTACAATATATTCATTACATCACATCTTATATAACATTAAACACAACATCTATTAAACATTACATACAAAAGACG